TGACCTGAATCTTTGTTTAAACCTCAATTGATAAAGAAAAGGTTTAAAATGGTATTAAATGGAAACCGATTGGTTCAAAGGTATGGAATTAGTATAGCTACGTGGTTAGCTTGAAAGTGGAAAATGATTTGATATTATCTTCTTGCGTATTCATATATTTGTGATATATGTGAATAATTGTTTTATAAAGGTTTCGGTGATCCTTCACCCTGCAATTACATGATTAGGGTAACTCACTAGACTCTTCAGTCTAACCCTCGTTTTTGTGATTTTAAATATGTATTGCAGGACATGTGGAAGGTAAGAGAAAGGAAAAGATGTAATGTTTTTCTTATACACATTCGACTGCAGAATTGTTTTTGATGATTAGTTTTGTTGTTTAGTACAAGATATGTATTTTGAATTTTTGGACCTTGTATTTGGTCATGATAGTATTCTTGTACTAAGGGACCCAGATGTATATGAATATGTATTTCTTTGGTATGAAATATGTGTTACATGCAATGTGTGGGTTGGGGCGTTACAGCTGTTTCAAATATTCTCTAAAATTAAAATAATGAAGATGATAATATCCATGATTAACATCCTCCACAATAAAAATGGTTAATCAACCTCTTATAATTACAAAAAAATGAACAAAATGAAAAATTATAATTGGTTGAATGGAGTTTTCACAGTTTTTACAAATTGAGTGGTTTTTATTTAAATGCTCCCCTATATATATATATATATATATATATATATATATTAATTTAGAGTTGAACAATCATATTAAATACACGGTATAAAAAAGCATTGGGTTCATAGGTTGGAAGGAGTTCAAATCGACTTAATCCAATACTTACAATTTGAAGATTTTACAACTCGGATATGTATCGAAGACACCTGTTTTGGGTCAAGTGGGTCGGGTTATTTCAGGTTAGGTTGATCGGTTAGTCGGATTTTTATGCATCCCTAAGCTTATCAATTATTTTTTGTTAAACGTAATTAGTTTATTAACATCGCACCCAATGACATCGCTCCCGTCTATCACCCTATCGTTGTCCATTCTCTATACCAAACATTGTCGTCGTTGGCTCGTATCATTGATCTTCCTCTATTTTATCTGTTCTTACACTTTCAGTTCTCCTTTTACAATATTTTAATTGAGTACATATAGACATGTCAAAAAAACTTAAAAAGACTGGAAAAAAAAAACAGGAAACCAATGACAAGGACCAACAACAATGATAAAGAACAAATAACGAGAATAAGCAATGAAATTAGATACAAGGATATTTCAAAAGGGGAGTGCTAATGGCACCATCTTAAAGGCATCTCTCGTGCATGACACTCTACCAGAGTGTCATGGACTGCCACATCAGCATTCCACTCACCATACAACTCTATCATTTTATACCCATACTTCATAACACTCCAATGAGTTTAATGGATTTCCACATCATATATATATATATATATATATATATATATA